ACAGAATATCTGGCTCTGCGAAAATATGTATCTGTCCTTGCTCGCTTGCATAAAATTTACATATACTTATATGGTTATCGCATCAACAATCTATGTGGTTCAAATGATAGTAGGGAGACTGTGGATTGTGCATTAAATCGAAGCACTGATCGTGATGATGATTATGCATCCAGATTCAGACTAGAAAAACGGGTCTTACATGTCTACTTGAGTCGTATTACTGCGTAAGTGTTACTGCAGGACGATTATGCGTTAATGTCACCAAGTTAGAAGGCTAGTATTGAGTAACATTTAAATGATGTTTGTGCGCAATAAGGAAACCCGATAATTAGTGCATTTTAAATTGCAACTTTTTTTGGCTATAATGGTCCCTTTAGATGCGAAAACAACACTGACGAGAGCAAACAAATGGGGCCGAATGAATTCCATTTCAGTGATTTCTTGGAAAGTTTTGACACCTCAATAGCAGGATCAATGCGTCATTCGAGTATCGACTCTAATCAGCCTATAATGTAATACTTTGATTCAAAAAATTTTGTTGGGCGTTCTCCTCACAATTCGTTCAATTTTCTAGACACGATGTGGAGTTGGCGAAATCATCTCCTCAATTAGGGTATTTCATATTTGCTCCGGTACTAAAGTCTCGCTGTGCCATTGAGGATTTTAAGTCTAATGTACTTCTGAGGATCGGTCTGTCCAAGGTAAAGAATTTTCAATGGATTCCATTTATTTTTTACTCGTTATTGGCACAGTCCACTGCGTTATTTAGAACTTAAGCATTGTCTTCATACTACAGATTTCCAGTTCGTAATCTGTTTAATTTACTTATGTATTGAAGTTACAGTTGGGACTTTTGGATATTTTTTGCTCATTCTGGTTGACGCCGTTCACAAATATTTCTGCATTTCCTTTGTTACGAGTTCTGGACGTCTGCAAAGAGTTAGCTAATTTGGCCGGAAGTCTTTCCGAATGGTTATCCTTGATTGAAAGCCGTTTATATCTTTGGTAAGAGAATTAGCTTTTTCTCAAGAAACGACTTAAAATTAACTTTTATGTGGCCATCGTTTCTCAAAAATTTTTCAAATTTGCAGCCATGAAGTCCCATCGGCTTTTTCGCTCTGTTTAATCGCAAGGGCTATTGCCATTGAGGCTGGTAGTCACAAGAACGTAAGTTTTTTTTTAGTTGTCTTTTGGTGCTAGCGGAATCTTATGATAGATGTTTCTTTCTTTAAAAAATTCTAAAAACGTTATTTTTAGCCGGAAAAAGATGTGGCGTCCAAAGATGAAGCGTTTCCGGATTCTGCTGATGAGTGGGAAAGCATTGAAGTGTCTCTGGAGCGATGGGATATCTTAGTCAAGAATTTTCATTGCCTAGCAGTTTTGAAGTGTTTACCTCGTTCACCGGGCACATCTCTTCAAGAAGTTGCAGATACAGGGAAATCATTTTATCGCGAAAGAGTATGGCTTACGAAATCGTTTATTGCTTTTAATGTTTATTTTAACTAGTAGGGCGTTCTCATACTTTGGAAGAGTCTTCTTTGCGTGGTTTTGCAATACACTTAAAGATGTTTTAAGCATTATTTTGTCGACAGGCATCTACCGGTGAAAAAACTGATATCTTTACAGAAATGGTTTTACAACCAACAAAAGACTACTGTGTTTCGTTTAAAAACCTCTTTTTCTGTTCTTTACCAATTCAGTAGCTGGCAGTCAAGTAGCATTTGACTTCTGCAATAAGCTAACAGTGTTTCTGGCGTTTCAAAAAAATTGGTGATTAGTTAGGGCCAGTAGATATATGTCTTGCTGAGTTACAAGTCTAAGAAAATCCAGATTTTTTTCAATAGAAGATACTGAATAAGCTTTTCTGAATGGTAAGATTTTGAGAAGGGATTTCACGGATCATTGTTATGGTGCCAAATTTCGTTCGTATTATTGTGGAAACGCTACATTCAGTTATGTTTAACAGTTTTCCAAAAGTAGATCTAGTTTTTTATTTCTTATCAAATTAGAAAGGATGAGAAATTGTGCAGTTTTTGTTAATAGCCCAATAGTGAAATGCTTGTTGAGACAGCCTTCTGACCATTCTTTTGCCTCTAATCACAGATAATTCCCGACAAAGTGTTTAATTTATTTGGTATTTCCACTGCAGTTTTCCACTTTTTTCCCGCCTAGATCGTTAATACGCTGCCAGCTGAGCACTTGCTTGCTTGTTCAATTTAGTCTCACTTCCATTCCTGTGCTTGAACTGAAAAATCTGCGAGTTATATCTCTAACTTTTTTTTTGGGTCATGTTATAAAACCCCATTGCTAAAATCATACGGTACAGGTGGCTAAAAGCTTTTGAAATTGTAAAATCGTAATAGCGTGCCGAAAACGAAATTTATCGATTTTTTTTTCAATTCAATGGAGAAGAGTTCAGATTGCTGTTGTAATTTATTGGTGATTGGGGCAAGCGCGTATTCTGAACTTATTTAGAGTCTCACAGAAATCAGCAAGTAGCGCTGGACGACTTACTCTTTTATGGTTGTTTCTTACCACTGCTTGATCTCCTCTTTTATGGAAATTCTTCTGCTTCGTAAAGTTGATAAACAAGGAAATTTTAGCTGGGGCGTTGGGTTTCGATGTATAAACCAGACATTGCTCAATTCGCTGCTGTTATCGACCCCCACGCTGTGTCATGTGGATCTGAAAGCGATATTTTAAAAAATAGTTTTTGTTGGGTGGAACCAGTTAGAAAATTGCTGTCTTTTTTCCCACATAGTATGGAAAAAAATCTCATTCTTGCGGACTGTGCTTGGGAGTGTGTACACTCCTGGAAAAGAAATCCAGAAAAGGATGTCAGAGAGTTGAAGGTTATGAATTTGAAATTTTTTCACTTTGGTCGACATGTTAGTCAGGTTTCTAAGCTTATTACATGTCAGTTCCTTGCCGACATAAAAAGTCAATGTTTTTTCAGTATGCTTTAGAATTCATATCTTTGCTACAAGACATTCAATATCTCCAGCAGAGTATCTGCCTCTTATTATGGGAAACTCATTTAAAGGAGCTCTTTAAAGGATTATTTGAATGGCTGAACAAAGCTGAAGAGGTCCCTAATGATCGCCTTGCAAAAAAATACATTGGGCTTGGAAGAAATCAGTTGGTTAGCATTATTTTTTGCGTTTATTTTTCTCTGGTGGGCTTTTGACTAGTGTTTCTAATTTTTTTAGGAGTTAACTTGATTAATTTTCATCTCTAATCACGCTTTGTCTTTCTTTTCTTAGGAGGAGTTCGTCAAGTGCTGTTTGTTGGTTTTGGAGATCTTGCAAAGCCGCAGCGAGGAGTTTAATTTTTACACGCCCGAAGTAAAATACGAGGATTTCTTGGATGCTTTTTTTGACTTCCGGGAGTTAGGGAAAAAAACCAGAAGGTGAAAGATTTAAATTTAAAGTTTTTTTTTTGAAAATGCGCTTTGTTTAATTCACACTAATTCACACGTATTCTCATTTTGTATCTCAAATCTTTTTCAAAGTTTGTTCGGTAACAAAACTTGGATTACGACTTACAGAGCTAAAAATTGCTTAACTCTCTAACATACTCTTAGGAAGAGGACGAATTAACATTTTTTTGAAATTTTGAATTTTAATTTTTTTTGACCAGATGTGACTATCTTTTATTGCCTTCACAATGCTTCATTTTTTTGCAGGGTTTTTTTATAATTAAGTGAGCATAACACTGTTGGAAATTTTCCTCCATCTCCAGGCCAAATTAGTTCGGTTACAGTATTTGCGAGTTAGAGAATTCATTGCTACTTTAGCGGCATCAAATCGTAGAGAAATTTAATTTGTACGGTAGAAGAAGCGGTTTTTGAAGGTCTTTGAAAATTAAAAATTGGTGTAAAATACCTCTCTGGTGGTGAGAAAAAGCCCAGATGGAAAATCCTTTTACAGTCATTTAAGGGTCTGTAGACCCACTGACGCTCGTAAGTTCTTTGGTACTGGTTTACCAAATTCGAAAGCAGAAATACCTGTAGGCAAAAAAGGACATTCGTTCTCAAATTTGCCATTTTCACACATGGTTGCTCACTGGAGAAAATTCATTGAATCTACAAAGTAATTAGAGTAAAAGTTTTTTAAAATGAAAGAAAGTTGGTGGCAGAGTCAAATAGGTAACGGATTTCAGGAGAATTACTGATTAGTTTTTTTTTCATTTTTTGCTTGAGGAAAGGATACAAAGAACTTGGTTATGTATTGAAAACTGGTTCTGAGCCGTCGACAGGCACAGTAGTAGCGGTTCAGCCAGATGCTGCTGGATTTAGGGAAGCAAGCAGAAATATGAAAGTTTTGAAGAAAAATTGAACATGAAAGCCAATATTTGCAAAATAGCTGCATATCAGTTAAACCATGCGTATTTCACACTTGCACTGACGTTAATATCGGCATCAACAAATTTAACATAATTCTTCTTCAAAATCCTGTAATTTTTTTCGTCTTGATTAGCTGTTTTTATTTGAACCTTTTATATTCTACTTGGATGGAAACCGGGTTGCTTAATTTTGAATCTTCTATCAACATTTATAAACTATCTAAATATTTTTTAGAGAACCGTTAATAAGTGTCTTGTTGCGGCAACAACCACCTATTCCAGAGCTTTCTCTACATCATTATAATTTGGCTTGTGTTATCGAATTACAGGTTCTGTTTGTCTTCCCAGCTAAGTCTTATTTTGATTTTTGGTTGGCACCTATAGATACTCATAATAGATAGATAAGTATTCAAGTATACAAATATATATATGTACATTTAGTAGGAAGAAATAGAATAACTAATTTTTTCGTTCTCAATTAAGTAACTTGGCTTTTTACTTTAGCTGTCTAATACGAAACCTCATTTTAGCTTGGATTATCGCTTCATTTACAACCTTCAAAGCTGTTTGATGATGAACTGGCTATGCAAGCGCTTTTTTCCCCGTTGAATAGGAAACGTAAAGTGCCTATACAAAATGTAGTTGCTTCATTGCGGCATAGACGCCAGGAGTTTGCTGAACAGTGTATAGCGGCTATTGTAAAAAGTAGTCAGAAAGATAATTATTTTAACGATTTGGTCGAGGGACTTGTTCAGGATTGGGGGTTAGACGTTGATGGAGTGACGCTTAAAGTGCTTTTAATATTTGTTGTTTTCCTTTATGTCTCAATTTTCTTACCACGTTTAGTAAATCTGTAAAAATTAGCAGTGAAATATTTTTATCTGTTTAGAAGCTTGTTTACTGCGTTTTCTATTTCTAATAAAGTTTACATTTTATTACTTTTGAAGTGCACCCTTGGATGCGTGTGAGTCAGAAGACTGGCTTTCATTGAAAACCTTGTTTTTGATATTCTAGGAAATGGAAGCTTTGATGGTTCTTGGAGACCAAGATGGTGTACTCAAGTGCATGTACCGTGTGCGATATCCTGAGTTGGTCGTTCAACGCTGTTATCCTTATCTGAGTGCTCGGATGAAAGGGTATATTGCGGCTTATTGTCCTGATCTTATCGAGAGGGCTAAAGAGAATGGCCAGTGGGCTAGGTGGTAAGTCGTTTTCTGGTTTTTTTGGTCAGCAGGCTCAAAAGTGGTTACGGGAAGTTTTGTAGTGCTATATAGTTGCTGTATAACATATGAATGTAGCGTCTGTAGTAAGTATGTCAAAGAAATTGTCCAGATTGCATTAACTGACTACTTGTGAACCGTAACATTATATTTTTTGGTATGTTTGTACCTTTGGCTTGTCTTATTTTGTAATTCGGCAAAAGTAGTGGAATAAAGGGTTTAGGACTCAAGAAGCGCTCAAAGCCTCCTCTAGTGAAGATATTAGACTTGCGCATCCACCAACGAAGAAAGAAATGATCGATTTTGTTTCCGTTTTGCAAAATTTAGCTTGTAGGATGAATGCATCTACCAAAGATCTTCGGTTTCAGAAGCGTGTAATAGATGACATGGCCAATATTTTGCAGTTCGCACCCTAAGAAAACATTTATTTATTGGCATTAGTTGTTGCGTCTGTAATTTGTATTTGGATGTTCATAGTACTAAAAATTATAAAATTGTATTTAAGGTTTTTTAAGTTACAATTAACGTTTATTTTCACACAATGTTGATATTGAAAGGCAGTGCGGGAAAATATTTTTTTTAGCTATACTACCTTGATATTTCCTTATTATTAGTCATCTGAGCTACTGGTTTGATTATTTTAGAAACTTATTTATTTTATTTGCAAGGAAAGAAGAGTACTGTCCAGTCAAGGTCTTATCGTGACGTCGAATGTGATGGTTTTTCGTGTTAGTCTGTAAATGTTGTTGGAATAAAGTGATTCAATCGTATGTTCTTGAGCAAAATAATTTTATCAGTTTTCAAATAATCTTTTGGAACGCCTCACTTTGTGCAGAATAGTTTTCTACTTGAGGTGAAGGTACTGTTAGCAAT